AAAATTTAGATTGCACTAATGAAGCTAATTCTATTCAACCTTTACTAACTTACTTTCTAAGGCGCTAACATAATTTTGTACTTAATTGGGAGAAGGTTGACCAACTGAAAATCTAATAATAATTCCAACTAGTCAAACTTATCCCAGTTAAGTCCTATAAACATACAAAAAAATATAGAACTTATTTTCTAACTGAAATTTCAACACACATTATTAAAACTTAACAACAGCCTCTACGGTACTCCTACAGTATTTACGCTGCGGTTTTCGAATTACAAATGAATCAGAATTTACAGTATCTTCTAATTTAATTGCGTCAACCTCCATAGAATTCGTCTAGTTGAAATCAAGGTTCATATTGTATGGTATATGGAGATCCTTCTCCATATTAATCAGATCGAAGTAATTGTTTATATTATTTGTACATAACTCGTCTCAATTTTTTCTAACTTAATGTTCTTTCGGCCACAAAAATGATATAATTCATCGTCGATAAAGTTTATGTGCGAATATAAGTCACATGCAACCCGCACAAAAATTCAGCAAATAATGAAATTCAGGGATTTATTTATTTATTGGAATGGGCGGGAATTGAAAAAGAAAAGTAGCGAGAATTGGATTGTTGGTAGAGGGCCGTGGGGCATAGCGCGTTAAACAACGAAAGCGTTCTCGTCGACTGGTTTTAACAGAATTTCATTAAATTTGACTAGTTATTCTAATTTGGGTCTATCGGCGTGTGGATGCAGCTTTAGTTCACATTAGTATTTGAGTTTCAAACCAGGAGGCATGTAAGTAGATAATTTCATTCAAGGGTCAAAAACTTAAATTTTAGACGATTCCCACAATAATTAGATCTACCATGGCGCCAACGATCTACCTACATGTAACTTTCCCGTCACGTTTAAAAAAATATCTAAGCCACTTAACGGTTCCGTGTTACGTAGAATTTGTGCCAAAGTCACCATGTTAAAAATAAGTACAAATTGTGAACAACTCTTGTGCAGATAAAGCGGTGACCGGTAAATTAAGTATGTCTCGTACAAATGTTCCAATAGCTTTTTGCTCTTCCGACACTCCGTTCACGAGGAATACCTCAAGTGAATAATTTTGACTTCACCAACAGATATGCTTTGGTCAGATGGTCCATTAGCCCTTCGTGAGTACCGTCCCCAGACATTCCATTCTCGAGATATTAGCACTTAACGTAGTGACATAGTCGTTCTGCTCTCAAGATATGAGGAATTATAACTTATTTCGAACAGATGTTGGAGAGGAGGGCAGTAGGAATTAATTCCTGTTGTCCAGACTTTGTATTAGAATACCATGAATCATAATAACAGTTTTATCCCCCTCCCCCAATTACAAAAAGGTGAGGAATTATAACCGATGACGATAATAGGTCGTGGATGAAAGCCATAGTTGGTAGAAGGGTGGTAGTTGATGGATAACAGTTTCTTTCGTAAGGACCTTTAATTAGAGTACTATGAAAGTTAAAATCAATGTCTACCCCCTCCCCCTCCTCTATCACCAACTGACTTCGATGAGTTGCGTGGGAAAGTTATAGTTTACAGAAACCAAGCCTATTCACCCCCACCCCTCACCCCCACCGCCCGCTTCCCATTTTCAAAAGTTTACTTTACTTTTTTAATTCTTAAAAAAATGCGCTAAAAATTCGAAAGTGACACCTCGTGCGGGTCGATAGAAGTGACCACTTTCTTGCTCTCTCACACTCCTTCGTTCCCTTCGCACCTCTACACAACGTTGTGAATCGTTGTCGATCTGAATCTAAATCACCCTTTGTGAGTACCATCCTCGGATAATCCACTGTTCATATATGATGAATGAAATAGAACCGATCACTCGTAAAGGAAAAGGGCTGTAGTATAAAGCAAAGTGCAGTTCAGAAGCTGTCAGCGTATGTACGAGTTAAATGCGCCTTATTTTAGGATTTCTTATTTTATTTGTCGACCGTCTGCGTGCGGGGTACTATGTCCAAACAAGCTTTGTAAGCTTTTCTTTCTTGTAGGGATTTCGTTTTCATTTTTTTTTTCATTTTATTTCGGAATAATTTTTTGTCATCGTCATTCAATTAATTCTGGGATTATTCGAATCCATTGTGCGATCCAAATAAGAGTTTTCATGTCAGATTTTTTTCTAATCATGCTCAAGATTTATTTCAGGTGTTAATCAAATGTTGTATAATGTTTGGTGATCGAGGCCACCGAGTCTCTCAAATGGAGACATCAATATTGAGTTCTCTCTTATAGCAGATGCCTGATGTGTACGAGGAGAAATATAAAAATAGAATGCCTTTGAAAAAGTTGAAGTGGGGTTCAGATAACGTTTGTTTATAAACGCTACAGAAGAATTAGCAGCGGAAAGTCCGTGACGTTCTCGAACGTTAACGGCAATTGGGATTCTCGACCTTTTTCAGGAGAGTTATTGAAATTATTTAGTTTAGTCGTCATGATTTGACGTTTTGAAAGCATTGAGTTTTTAAAGTTATATACTGCTGTGTAAACAATGTTCGTTTGGGACGTTGACGTTTAGATCCAGGTGGGTGTTCTAATTATGAATCAAACCCTTATTATTACTACTCATTTAATCAATTTCCTGGGATTACTTACGAATAAACACAATAAACACAAACGTTTACTTTATTTCATTCTAAAAGAAAGAGTATTTTATCCCAATTTCTGTTATCAGTTTGTTTAGTTAATGCATTTGTGACAGCTCCGATTTGATTTATTGGGTTTTCGTTTATTTTTGTAAAATTTAACGTAATTTTCTAGAGATAAGGTGGCTTTTTAATATGAAAAAACTGTTTTCGTAGAAATGTTATATTTAAGATAAGATCATTTCGAGCTCCTGCACGTGATCAAAACACGCGTCCTGTCGCAAGTTCCAGTGAGCAGGGGTCCTTACTTGGTTAAAATTTTTCCACGCTATCTAAGGAGGGACGCCCGTTTAAATACTAGAGGCGGCGTAAGTTCGGGGGCGTTTTGCCAAATTCGAGGTCGGGATGCCGTTCGTAAGAAGACGCTTTCTCACCAAGTTCCAAACCGAGTTGCGGTTCTTTGAAGAGGCATTTTATCAATGGCGAGACCGAGTTGCTGTTTTGAAAGTGGAGAACACATGTGTTGAAGTTGGTGTTAGTTGCTGTTCGTCGCTCTAAGCAAATTTGTTGTTTTGTGGAAGTGAGTTCAGTACGCGCTGGGAATAGCGCTTTCACATTGAAATTATCGTCTACGATAAACGCCATTTGAGTTATCGGTGGTGTACTTTTGCGTTCACCTAGATATCACAATCAATCAACGTGTTTGAGGAATTGATTTAAGAAGAACAAGTTTTTGTGCGTCACGTGTCGGTTAAGTGCATTGCTTTCCTTAGTAATTAGTGTACCTGGATTTTATTGGGATTTATAACTCGAAACCTGTATAATAATTAATTTTAAGATTTTTTGTTTAAATTGTAATCGAACGCATCTGCGGGATTTGTTTATTAGGACCCCGTGGTCCAATATTGTTAAATAAGATTTTATGTTTAATTTCATTTGTGGTCATAGAATACATTTTGTTTATACAAAATCATGCAAGTCGTGTGTTTATTCGATTCCTTTAACGATTCAGAGAGATGTCTCATGCTCAATTACGATCAGTTTTATTGATCCAAAGTTGATTTCAAGCGCTTTCAAAATTGTTTGCCTGGAATCAGGAATGAAGTCAGAATGGAAATATTTTTGTTGTGTCGGGGTGCGGAAGTGTACTGAGAAAAATGTCATTAAAGAGCTAGTTAGGTTTGAGGTGTTGTGTACATGGTCCGAAATTTAAGGGTCACAGCATTTTGATTTGCTCGCCCAGTTATTTTTTGTTTGTGACCCGAATTTAAAGGGTCACAGTAATCCGTCGCCGTAGTTTTGTGCATTGAAGATTACCATTAGAATCAACAATTAAAAAGTGAGCGTCTAATTTTCCCACCTTAAGAAGTTCGCATGCCGCGAAGACCCATACAAGTGGCTAAAAGTTAAGCCACATATTCTTTCAATCTGTGGTGTGGTGTTTGATGAATACTGAATTTGTTTTGGGTGGACATAATTGTGATGATATTTAAGTTAGGTTTTAATTTTAAATTTAAGTTGTTTGTAATTGTTTTTAAATTTTGCCAATTGTATTTACGAACTCGGTGAGTTAGGAGTCTTGTGTAATTTGGGCAAGCCGTTTGTGAAAATAAATGCAATTAAATTTTGTTTGTAAATCTAGTTTTTGTGACCCTTTGAAGTCATTTTGAGTATTGCAAACATCCTGTAGAAACTGTTTTCCAAGGATCCTAAAGTAAGTGTAAGTATTGCAGTAATCTCATACAAAAGAATTAGCTTATAGCATTTAAAATTAATTAAATATGTTTGCCTTTGTTGACACGTATATAAACAATAAAAAAATATTGTTTAATTAAGGTTAGTTTTTGATGTATTATTCATGGTGCAAATTTTTTAGAGCAATTCTAATAGAATAGTGTTCCAACTTTTTTGCATCCCCTGTTCAGCGATATCGTCTGGTATGGCACTAAAAATACTCAGTATAGAATATATAATTAACGAGATAATTAAGTACATGTTATTAATACAAAAAGCCGTAAAGTTTAATGAATTTTAATATTCAAGATTTAAGAAATTACCAGCTTGATGACAGAAATAGAAAATCTGTTACGCCCTTAATCATTTCCATCTAAATTACTAAAAGAGAAAAAATGTGGATATGCTAAACACATTGAATATTAATGAAATCATTGTTATATACGTAAGTATAGATAATCGTGGTAAAATAATAAATTCATAAAATATTACGTGCATGAGAGGAAATTAAATACCTACTAGAAATTTTCCATACAGTAGGTACAAAGGAAATTCTTGCAAAATCAATATGTTAAAACGGCGGGTCCCACACGAATTCTTGCGAAAATTTAAAATAATTAACTGCTAATAATAAACAATTAAAACTTACTCGTCTTCGATCGTGGTTCTCTAGGCCCATCCACCGTCACCTTAATTGCTTTATTATAAGTCGCTATCTGCGGAGGGTTGGTGGAGACGGTGATCGTAAGCGAGAACGACTTTCCTGCAATAAACCAGAGAATAGAATAAGTATTAATTGATCGAGTGAAGGGCACGCGTAACAAGCCTTATTTACACGCCAATTTTTGAGACATGTGGTCGATGTAACAAAATTGCGGTTACCGAAAAGTGCACAAAATATACAGAGACACGTATAATTTTCCAGGCGAGCCAGCCACAAATTTGCTAATTATAATTGGTGTCGGTTTGGCATGTGGCGAGATCATTTTACTTTACGGATCGGCCCTAACGAACAAAAAAAAAGCGAGAAAAGGAAACCGTTCCTGTACAAATTCCGGGAAAATTATCAGCGCGGTAATAAACGAATCTTAAGACAATGATAATTCCGTAATTTTTTTATCATTCAACTTAGAAACGCGACCACATCCAGGTTTCCATAAATCCTCATTTCACCACAACGACCGGCAAAATAAGTCGATGATAAGAGAACGCGCTGTGATTATTATTATTGTACAAAAATAACCTAAAACGGCGAAAACACGGCCATTGTTAACTAAAATGGGCCATAAAACACTTACATAAACCCGCCTTTTAAGTTTATGAAAGTGATTAACGGCCCCTTAATGTCACAGGGTTTTTAAGAATTATGGCGCGAGCTTCATATATGCCACACACACGCATTCACACGTTAAGAGAAAAAGCCGTAACAATCACTTCGACATATCATGTTCGTAATTAATTTTGCCGAACGTCCCCTTTTTGGTTAATTACGCGATGAGCCTTTTACGAAAAATCGGAAAAGTGGAAGCGCGCGGTTTCCATGAAGGATGATGAGCACAAACGTTCTCATTACAAGGCAAATTTAATCCGCTTTTTTTGTTTGTTAATAACTTATGAATCGATTACAAGTTTACCGTTAGCGTTTTTATTCGTCATTAATACTTCTTAAAAACTGGAGGAAAGGTAGTTCACATACGATACGGAACTGATCAGGTTTTTCACATTATTCAACATGGAACTAGGAAAGCTAAGACGAAATTTTGGGAAATCGTTTGAATACTGCCTACTCAGTCCTTCTGTGACCGTGAAACTAAAATTCGTAGAATAATAACCGTTACGTTTTATCAATTACATAATGCGCTCATAATGGTTCCACAGATTCCAGTGCCTTAGATCATTTGTATAAGACGAAAAGTCCAAAGATATGCGGAAATAGGAGTTGACCAGTATAATTATGGAAATTGTGAATGAGAGAGCTAAAGAAAAAGAAGAACTTATAGAGCGAAATAATGCACAGAATATTAACAAAGGATATAAGGGATCAAAATTGAAAAGTAGAAAAAAGGAATATAATGTTAAACCAAAACAACAAAAGAAACTGACAAACAAAAATAATACATTGAAAAAACAAAGAACGTGGGAAGAAACGATATGAAAGAAAACGCTGGAGATTAAAAAGTGATAAGCACATGAATCGAAAGAAGATATTTAGAATTAGAAGTCTGAATATAAGCATTTCGAAGAGATCATCAGACACAATTGGAAGGGAACAGAAACTGCAGAACTAACACCAAAGAAACTTAAGAGAATATTTAATAAAATAAAACTAGTAATATAGGTAAGAGACGGTTTCTAGTAAATTTTGGCCTGTGGAAGCCTAAAAATTTATAACTATCAAGATCTGACCACTGTCTACACTCCTCGTATACGTATCCAACATTTTTGAAAAGTTTCCACAATTTCCTACACGTTCACTTGTTCGGTATATTCTCTCGGGATGCTCGAAATGGGGAAAATGATAAACCAGAACAAAGTTCACAAAACCTTGCCCATATAATTTGAATGTGTTAAGACAGCGAGCGTCTATTAAAGGCGACATGCTTACTACAGAAGAATCGACCGAAAACGATTCAAGGTTGAATTCCAAAAACATATGAAAACGAAAAGGTACAAAGACAACAAGTTAAAAAAGTGGTAATTCGCGACCGACGAAACCGTGATGACATTTACCTTTACACGGGTTTCCGTTGTAAAACCTTATGCGAATTTTCAAAATTTTTCACATTTGCCAACATTTCGGAAACATTTCTACCCAAAATCGTCCTGAAATCTTTATTTTCGTGCATACTTTCTGTCAGGAAATTTACGTTTCCATGACAGAGGCAAAGCAGACTACGTGTCCTGCCGCTTGTCACTTTACTGACCGCACCTGTCACTTTACCGGTCGCATTTGTGACATTTATAAATGTCTATAATTACTCCTGCCATCACTGACAGATTGACATTAATCAAAAGTTCTAGGTATATAAAAAATGAAATTTTATATTAAAATACGATTTCGGGTATAATTTAATAGGAAACTCGTAATTAAAATGACATATTATCTGACTCGGAAATTAAAGTACTCGACCCCGAAGGAGCCTCGTACTTCAATATTTCCTCGCCAGTAATGTGTCATTTTCCTGACTGTTATGTAAATAACTATTAACATTTGATACATATTTTCATTTCCAAAACGCTTCCAATATTTTCTTCATATTTCGAATATTTCAAACAAATTCCGCACCTTATAAATATTTGTGACATTTCCAAGTTTTTAATATTGCCTACACATCTCTATCTATTTTTCACCTAGTTTCCTCGTTCCAAAATTTCCAAAAAATTGGACATTTAACACGTCCGAAACATTCCCAACATTTCCGCGACATTTTCGAAACTGCATCCAGAAGCATATCCATAACTTACCGAACTCTTCAAAATTGTTGTAAACATTTTGGAAACTAAATTATAAAAATCTCCCACCTTCTACGCATCTCCAAAATCTGATGTGTATATTCAACTTTACCAAGCCATTTCCAAAATTTACTGAACATTTCCAAATTTTTTTTTCGAAAAACGAATCTGAACACGTTCGACCAGGGCCCGACACTTCCTGCACCTTTCCAAATTTTCCAATACATCTCCAAACTAGTTCCAAAATTCATCAAAATAGATTGCCAAAATTAGTTTTTGAAAATTTGGAACAAATTTCATTAGTTCAATTGACGTCAACTTATGAAGACCTCTGTTTTCAAGCAAGTATTAATAATTTCCTCTGACCCCCCCCCCCCCCCTAACTAATCCAGAAAAATCACATCTCGATATCTGTAAAGTTAAAGGAGTGTTCTGAATGAAGAGGACGAACAGCGATAAAGGTAAACTAATAGTTAGAACCGAATCGGCCCAAGTGTTTGAAAGCTATCGTGTTCACGGACAGACGGACACAATCGATTCCCCTATAAACCTTTTATCGCTTTGCTCTGCCGTTTAATAAAAGGAAGGTTAATTAAGCACTACCTATTTTAGAAACAACGTCCCATTACGGTTCGAAAATGTGGTTGGGGCCGTTTTTGATGGTCCTTATGGCAGTCCACCCTCCTGAGGGAGAATAAAAGTTCTTTCAATGCGTCCATTTACCCTCCCTTCCCCTTTCTTCTAACTGCGGCATCCTGCATAGTTTTTACCGTTCTTGAGTAACAATTTTACTGTAGAAAAACACGAAAGCGCCGATGCCGGGAGAAGGGGGTCCGTTACGGGCCAGTCGAGCGATTTTCTTCATTTTCACAATATACTTTAACAAAGACACTCTTTGCTTTGGTCTACTCTACATATAACTGTTCATACGGTCGAAATTCCACCCCCTTCGACGAGGCGAGCTCACGACCGGTTCAGTACCTTCGCAGTCCCCGAATGCCATTTTCTATTTTTCACTTTTTCATATTTTCATTCGCATTTTTTACATATTTTCATCTGCGTTTCACAAATTAAAAAAAAACGTCTTCAGTATCGAATATTAATCTTTCGTTTATTGTATTTATTTATTTATTTGTTTATTTATTTATTTTTTTAGTATTGATTCATGATTATTCTTAATATATAAAACCAAATCGTATACCTATTATTATAACTCAATAAGAATGTCCGGACCGATTTTCATGATTTTTGACGTGTTGGATTCGTCTCCGGCCCGAATAGCAGAATATTACAATATAAAAAACGACAAAAATATTTAAAAAAATCTAAAAAAGGTAACTAATCGAACTAGTGTTTCAAATACTACATCATTGGAATGTGTAGAAATATTCATTGCAGACGCAAATGATATCCAAATTATCACAATGAAACAACTCGCATAGCAAAACAGAGAAAACACCAAGCCTAATTTTTAGTTCGTTGTATGAAGTACTCCATTGTAGTTTGTGTGAATTACGTTGAACATTAAAAAATTAAATAAAAACAAACTAGGCTTTTTTATTATAGTTTTCTATAGGCGATCGATTTCGGGTGATATATTCCCATCATCAGGCCGTGCTGAAATAATTTTTAGATTAAAATAATCTTCATCTCTTAACATTTCAAAGGATTTAAAATATGCACAGTGTGATTATGTAACGAACCAGAAATTATCTGTTAACTCGCAATACTTCCAAATATTTAAAGAGTACACAGTGTGTCGCGTAAAAATACGCATGTACACATTGTAATTTTGAAACAAATCTTCAACATATTCTGAAACGGCATGTCTTAAGACACAGGTCATCAAAGAATTGAAAATGTGCACAGTGTGATTTTGCAACACATCGTCCTGGTATCTCTTAACTCACAAAACCCCCAAAGGATTTAAAATGTGAACACTGTAATGAGCTTATAAGGCAATGTTCGGAGAGAGGGTAGATTTTGTATTTGTCTTCAACAAAACAGTGTTGTAATGTAAAATATTTAAAGTAGAGTCTCTGGGTGTGTTCCTTCCATTTGCACACAGACTCGGCATCTTCCCTGAAAGGAAGCTCTTATTCGTTCTAATACAAAAATATTTCAATTAAGACACAAAATCAACTCCATATCTTTTGTTTCTTTACATGAGTAGGTACTTTACGCAGATAAAATATCAGACCTTTTTTTTAAATGCCCTGTATACGAGGTTTAATTAGCGCTGAAATATAATCTGACTAAAATGAGTCCTCCGAGAGTTATACTTAAAAAAACCTTTGCAAAAAAGCGCTA